GATTCACACAAGGTTCCCAGAACTTGAATCTTCCTGCTCTGGCTTCCTGCAATGCTGTAGAGTTCATATGGCTGACACAGCACATATCAGACCGTCTTGTTATTTTAGCAGATCTATCCTCCCTGCTGTTCCAGCACCCAGCATGATAGACAACAACAGTTGCTTGTTGCATGAAGGAGAGCAAGAAAAATGCCTTAAAAAAAAGATTCTGAGGGGCAGCCATTTGGCTTGCTTGATTAACAATTCCCAGGATTAAGCTGTGACTGTGTTGGCATCAGGAGAGCATGGCAAGCTGAGAAACAGCAGTTTAAGCTTATCCAGGGAGCTAGGGGATAGGCCCAGACAGGCAGGAGGAAGTAGAGGTGACTGGGAGAAACAAGTGGAGGCAAGGCCAGGAGACAGGTTGGCTTAAGCTCTGGTTCAAGAACAAGGGTTTGCAGCCCAGCTACTTGACCTTGGGCAGACTCTCAAATTGAGCTGAGGCTCAGTTTCAACTTTAAAAGCAAACCCTGGCATATATTTCATAAAGTTGTCAAAGTGTTAGAGGAGGTTCTGTTTTTGATGCACCTAGCAGGTAGTAGAACTATACAAATGAAGTTCCTTCTGTGGTCGGTGAATAGTGCCCCCCCACAGACACACACCTTAAAGATACCCACATCCTAATCTCCAGAACCTGTGCTGTTAGCTTAGGTGGCAAAAGAGATTTATCCTGCATGATTAAATTAGGAATCTTGAGATAGGCAGATTATCCTGGATTATCTGGTAGGCTGGGTGTTATCACAAGGGTCCTGACAAGAGGGAGGCAAAAGGGTCAGAGAAAAGGTGAAAATAGAAGCAAGGTTGAAGTCAGGCCAGTGCTGGAAGGGAGCCATGAGCCGAGGAATGCTGACAACCTCCAGAACTGGTTGGAAGAGGGAACAGATTCTCCCCTAGAGAAAGAATGGAACCCTGCCAACACTTTGATTTTAGCCTGTGAGACCCACTTTCAGACCTCTGTAAGAGAATAAATTTATTCTGTAAGAGCACACATTTGTGTTGTTTACACCACTAAATTTGTGGTCACTTGTTATAGCATCGAGAGGAGACTTATTGGGACTTTAAAGTTGCACACACATAATCACCATCAGCCCTCTTGAGCCATTCCAAATAAACCTCTAATTTAAGAAAAGACAGTGGGTTTGCCACATAACCTCTGTTGAAGCCTCCCAGCCCTGCCATCCAAACTTTTAAGCTACTTTCTAAAACCCGCCCTATGTAGAAATTCTGAAGCTACTTATGGAAATTACGCACATATATCACTTACACAGTGTCTGCTACATAGTAAGTAAATGTTAGCAATCATTATTGCTATATTATTAGTCACCAGTTTACCAAGAGAGATAGTGGGTTTTCCTTTTCCCTGCACCAACAAATTCATAGCGATGGTAAAGGTCATACCTGCCCTCCTACAATGGTTCAAGTTCACTATTTTGTCAAGAAGTTCACTGAATTCTAATAACATATTTTAACTTTTAATAGTCAGCAAAATCCATTCATTCATCCATTCCTAACTCACCTTACATTAAAAAACATTCAAAGCAGTTAAATTTTGATGTACATTTGCATATGTGGTCACTTGGCTTTCTCGCTTCTCTCTAAATTTTTTTTTGTATTTCTAATTATCCAAGTAAATATTTCATAGTGCCAAACTAAAACATTTTCTTTTTACTATTTATACAATTTTTCTCTATATAAAAATGTTTCTATACCTAAAAATGAACAAAGTTGAAGTCATATCATATATACAGTTTTTTTTCTTGCTATGTCCCATACATGTCATTACACACTTTTAAACAACATTCCAATGACCACCAAATGGGTATTCCACAAATTCTTGATCACCTTCTAGTGTTGGATATGTAAGTTGACTAGAATTCCCCCTTGTTTATTTCAAACCAATGTGTAAAGAGTAAGGGTGCAGGTGTCAGTAACAGCTAAGGAGCAGGAGAGAAGCGTAACCAGTGTGTGGTATGTGTGTGGTTATTTCTGTGGTCAGGGCTGGGAAGTGCAGACAGCTACAGCTGAGCCTGTGAAAGCCAACAGGAGTAAGTGTTTCTTGGAGTGTTCCAGAACCTGCATATACATACCAGGGTTTTTAAAAGATTGGGATAATGATGAAGAGTATAATATCTAACATCTATGTAACACTTTTCTCCCTTACTCAGTGTTGTTTCAAAAAGGATTTAGCCTGAATTCAATAACAAACAACCAACCCAATTAAAAAACAAGCAAAAAACTTGAAAAGACATTTCTCCATAGAAGATATACAAATGGTTAATAAGCACATGAAAAGATGCTTGCATTTTAATCATACCTTCCCTTTCTCCGGGGCAGTGGAGGCCAAGGTCGTCTGCTTGGACAGGCAGTGAAGGAGGGTAACGATATATTAAAGAAAGGTACACTCTGTACCTCCCACACATACATTTCATATCTCAACCCTCCACTATCTCCATTGTTGGTACTTTTTCCAAACCCCTAATTACGGGAACTTTCCAAGCCTCTGTCCCCTATCTTCTATGTTTCTGCCCCTTCATTTATAGTTCAATTAATAAATTCATGGAATAGATAATAAAAGGCTATGCTAGGCTGTGAGGTGACAGTAACATGAGCACAGTCCCCCCTCCCTCCAGGAGTTCACAGTTTAGTGGGGGAAACCAGCATGCTACATCTAATCCTCCTGCTGTGTTGTCTTTGCTGATGATTGGACCTAACAAGTACCCACTTTCAACTCCACAACGCTGCAAGCCTTCCCCCTTCTGCTCCCACCAACACCCTGAACCCATCAGTCACCAACTCCACTGATGCTGCCTCTAAAGTGTTTCTGAAATGGGTCCCTACTCTCCAACCTACTTGCCATGAGCTTATCTCAGGACACCCTCACCCCTCCTCTGGACCGACCTACCAACTGACCTCCCAGCCACCACAGTATCTGTTTCAAATGCCAGTCTGACCCTGTTAATTTTGTCAACTTCCACGACCTACACGAGAGTGTCCACAGTTCTTAACCTCAGTCTCCAGCCCTAGCTACTCCTGCCACCATCTGCCTTCCACCCTGGCAACACCCTCGGCAGAGGCTCCCCATAGGCTGCCATGCTACCTCCGACTGCCTCTAGTCACTGCTTAGACACAACCCCCTCCACACACACACAAATCAACTGGTATCTTGTCTCCATGTTTCTATGGTAACTTGTGCCCTTCTCTCATTGTGTGTAACTACCTGTCTCTCTCACTGGTCTGAGAGTTCCTTGGATGCAAGGACCAGGCCTGTACTTGTATGTATTCTCAGTGCCTTGCACACAGTAAGAGCACAACACATGCCAGGCACTGTTCTAAGCACTTCTCACATATCAATTCATTTAACCCTCATGGCACTCTCTGAGGAAGTTGTTCTTATGGTGTCCGTTTCACAGCTGAGGACAATGAGAAATTAATCAGTTGGTCCAATACTCAACAGGAAGTAGCAGAATTGGGATTTGAACTCAAGCTATCTGTTTCCAAGTATGGCTCATAATCACTGTTTTCATCTTCCTCTCAACTTACATGTGTCTGTTGAGTGAGTGAAAGATGATCCCTTTCCACCTCTCCATCTCCATATGTCCCTAAATAAATAGTTCTCTCCCAACAGCTTCTTTTCTGCCCATCTGATCTCCACTGCTCCTCCCAGTCTCAGGGAAGCCTTTACTCTGTGACTTCCTAGGTAACAGTTCTCTCCTCCCTAACCCCATTCAATCAATCTGTCTTCCTGTCCAGGAGTTTAGTTTTTCCTCGGAAACATCTATCAGATTCATCTCTGTCTCCTCCTCATCCCTTCAGGCGGGATGACCACAGCAGCTTCCTGACTGGTTCCCTGACTTCACCATCTCATTCACTCACTTTGGGACCTTGGGGTTCACATGCATTTTTATTTAACACTGCAACAAACCATGAGCCCACTTTTTCTAGATGACAGAAACAGGGTTTGCCTGGCTCTGAGGACTCTCATTTCCAAAAAGACTCGTGACTTTGGGCAAGTCACTTAACCTCCAAGAGTCTTAGATTTCTCATTCATAAAATGGGGATAGTAGCAGTAATCACCTCGTTGCAGAGCAACTGAGATAACGGCACAGTGCCTGGCACAGAGCAGTTGCTCAGTGATTACCAGAGACTAAAGCCGACGACCCCCAAAGCCTATCTGTCATACGAGTTGGCTAACTATTCTGGGCAAAACGCTTTCTGGAAGAATTCTTGAACCACAGCTGAGAGGAAGTTGCCATACCTGGCCCCTTCCTTGTCCCTCATAGTTGCTCTCTCTCTCAGGACGCACCATACCATTGTATGAAAAACTGTATGTTACTGGTTCCTTGCAGAATGCTCAGCAAAAGAAAATACAGCCCAGTGTGACGGAAAGTGCACAGAATCTGGGACTCTGCCCTGTCCCAGCTGTGTGACCACAGGAAATCTTGAAAGCACTCTGACTTTTCTCGTGCACAAAATGGGAGTAATAATGCCACCCCCCACACACACAATATCGAGATAATGCATAAAGACTTTTTAGTGTGTGTCCGGATACAGAGTAAGACCTAAAGGAGTTGTGCGACATTGTATAGTCAGATTATGTCTATGATGAGCACGCTTTACTGTAAGTCGAGGACGAGATTTATAAATCACATTATCAAAATCAAGTAAAAGTACATAGAGGAAAGGTAACAAGACTGTGCACATCAGGTACTATCGTGAATCCTAAACACCTACCTGTCTTCTTAAGAAAGAACAGGCGGCTCCTCCCCCCGAATCCTGAGAGGTGGGTCTTGACACCCCCATAGCCCCGCCTCCAGGGTCCAGTGACGTGATCTAGGCCGCCCATGAGGGGCGGGGCAGGCCCTGGTCACGTGAGCGCGGGTACGGAAGTGGTGCAGCAGGCAACGCTGGTGGTTGGCCCAGGCCTTGGGTCCCGGGGGCGGGGTCAGGCCTGCCGACCCGCCTGGTGGAGCCGGGGGAGGAGGCACCGGCGGGGGCCGGCACAGGAGTCAGGGATTCGTTCTGCGGTCCCCCAGAGTGCTGGACCAGCGGCGGTCCCCAGTCCCCCGGCCTGCGCCCGCGCCCACTGCACTGGATCTCCCGGGGCCGAAGCTCCGGTGGCTGCGGGAGGTGGGTGGAGGGAGGATCGGAGGGCGCGGGCGCCCTGTGCACTGTGCAGGCGGGAGGCGGCCGGGGGCCGGGACGCCATGTCCATGGAGGACCCCTTCTTTGTGGTGAAAGGGTGAGTGTCGCCGAGGGCTCCACTGGAGGAGGTGACGTTGCCTGCCCCGCACCTCCCCACTCTCCGTGCTGGAGGGGGAGGGGAGACAAGTTGAGACTGGGGAGGGGGACAGTGGGGACGCCTTAGCCTTCAGGGCTGTGACCAAGTGTCCAGAGATCTGACCTACCTGAACTGTGTGAAATCTGTGCCCCCAATAAAGCTCCCAGGGAAGGGGTACCCTTTGACCTGTGTAACTTATGTGGGGGTTGAATTCAGCAGCTCTGCAGGTGGGGAGGGAGACGCGGGTCCCAGCCCAAACTGGGGCTGTAGTAGAGCACAGGCCTTACTTCGAAGGAGGGAAAACAGCATCTGGCAGGAAAAGGGAAATGGCCCTCCTGAGCTTTGTAGTTGGCTTTGACGGGGGTGAGCTCCCATTGTCCACTGAGATCGGAACGCTGGCCGGCAGACTGGTGGGACCACAACCAGCCCGGAGGCGTCCCAGCACGTTCGCAGGCTGGGAGGCGGGGGAGCAGGGCTCCGGAAGACAGCTCAGTTCAGTGGGGGAGTTTTTACTGAGTAATGGGACGGGAGGAAAGCAGTCGTTCATGCTCGGTGATGATGTTGGAAGGAAAACAAAATGAAATCAGCCAAACAAAACTTTGCTCGGCCTTCTGTTAGCACCGGGATTTTCCCACAGTGCTAAAGGAAATGAGTGCTTTCTTTTCAACTCCCTGATTTCACCCCGGCTATTTGACAGGTTTGCCCACTTGTTTTTCCCTTTGAGCTGTCCTGACTCCATCTTTGATTGCTAGATTGTTCGGAGATAGAAACTTGAATTGCACGTTGTCACTGTATCAGCTTTGTAGCCATTAGACAAATGCAAGAAAGATGGATTCTGGTGTTGTTACAACATGTCAGCTTTATGTTTTAAATGTCAAACAAACAAGTCTGAGAACTACAAAGTTCCCAGATCAATACTAATAACCATAGATAGAGTCAGTGCCCTTTTGCTTTCAACTAGTTGCTGCTAGCTTCCTATTTCTGTAGTGGTGAAAGTTGACCTGGTGCCTGAGTGTTTAATTTTTTTAAGGGTTCTTGGAAAATTTACGTGATGCTTTAGGTGAAATACTTTATTATTCATGATACAGTAAAATATATTTTATACACTTAACAGTTCCCTAAAAAGGTTTTTCTTCACCTTACTTTAACTTAGATCAGAAAATGTTAAGTTGTAGGGTTGTTTTATTTTTCTGGTAAAATGTGGCTCTCTACCTAGAAAATGTGTTACTAGGTTTCATTTAGATTTTAAAAGTTAAAGTTGTGTCTTTTCCCCCCAAATGAAAGTTCTTAGTGCACAGGTGGCAAAGGTTATCCCTGGCAGTAGAGACCAGAGAGAATCAGACATTTTTTGTTTGATTTTTAATGGAATGTATGAAAATGTTAAATTGCTGTGCCATCTTGACATTTTATTTTTTCCTGAGAGTATCCAATACTGTCTCCCAATGTTTGCTCACCAATTAGATATAACTGCTTTACTGGTACATTGGCCTGGAGTCTTGGGTTGGTTTTGACATCATTTTATTGTCCTTGATGTGTCTTAAGGAAATGAGACTCTCACTATCTTCTGCTGTGCAAAGGTAAAGTTAGTCACATGGGTGTCTCCAGATTGTATGTGTGACCGAGTATTTGGGAAGCCGTGTACCTCTGTTTATTAAAAGTACTGAAAATGCATCACATTGTGTGGAAAGATTAAGGACACCTAAATTGTGGTCCTTACCCTAGGAGCTGATAGTCTAAGCTGAGCAACACTGACCTCAAAACTTAAGTAGAAATGACAGGTGGTGAATGATTACGTGCTGAAGTGAATGCTGCAGAAGATAAGTGCCCCAGGAGATCGGAGAAGGGTGGTGACTCATTAGGGATGGTTATGATTGGAAAGGCTTTCAGAGGTGGCATTAAGTCTTGGATAGGTTTTGAAGATGGGTGGAATTTAGATAATTTAGGCCTGTCTCATCTGGACTTTTATCAAAGAGTTTCTAATTGGTCTTCCTGCCCCCAGCCTCATGCCTCTTTCATGTGCTCTTGGCTGGACTGCATCAGTGCTATCCAAAATATTACACAATGTGAACATCATACGCCATGTTTCATTGCCTAGTAGCCACATTAAAAAGTAAAAATGAATGGGGATAATTAATTTTACTGTCCTCTTCAATCTAATAGGTTCAAAATATTTCAACCCATGATTGACCAATGAAGATTATTGAGATATTTTACTTTTTGTATGAAATCTTCAAAATCTGGTGCATATTTTACACTTATAGTACATCTCAATTTGGATGCTAAATCGTCATCAGAAATACTTATCTCTTTTTAAAATTTATTAAATTTAGAGTTGAGAAGGTAGATTTACATATCCAAATTGTTCCGAGCATACTTAAATAGTTTCCAGTAACTGAATTCTGTATTAGTTTCTAGATTTAAATTAATTGAAATTAAAATTCCAGTTCCTCAGTCACACTGGTGCATTTCAAGCATGCAGGGGCCACAGGTGGCTTCCATATTCGGCAGCACAGAGCCCAAGCAAGGATTCCCCACCTAATGCCACTGAGTGGCTGCCTGTTGCCCACAGAATAAAGCCCAGACACTTCATGACCTCGACGGTCCAGCCTTCCTCTTCCCTCCTCTCACTCTGCCCGCCTCCTCTCAGAGTTCCAGCCATACCTGGCCCAGTACAGGGACTGTGACCGCAGCCTTGGATGCCCCTACTCCATGTGGCCCCGCTCTGCGCCTGATTCGCCCACTCGGCTTTCGAGACCCAGTGCCAGCATCCGCACTGTCTCTAGGAAGTGCTTCCCTTGGCACCAACAGCACATTATTGCACCTCTTCCTCTTTTATTATTAGATTATGAGTTCTGGGGGTTGGGACTGTTTCTTTCCCTGTATTTCCAGCCCAGCACCTTGGCTGTGTAGCACACATGGTGGATGAGTGCTCTGGGATGGTGGGGGTGTGCTCGTGGCAGGAATGCCCACAGCCGAGGCCCTGAGATGAGCAGTGTTGGTGTGGAAGTCATCAAGGCAAACATCCCTGGTGGAGCTGGACATTGGGGGGGTGGGGGCGGGTAATAGTAGCAGTGGCCAACATTTAAAGGATGCAACTCCAGTGTCAGGCGTTGTATGCTAAGTAAGACTTTTCACTTCCTAAGAGCAGCTCCGAGATATGGGCATTGGCCACATTTTAGGGATGAAGAGCTGAGGGAGCACACAGGTTAAGCTACTTGCCCAGGGCTGCACAGCTAGTAAACGGTAGATCCAGGATTCAAATTGGAACTGCCTAATGCTCCTTGTAATGTTAACACTTCACAGGACAAGGCAGAACAGTGCCAAGGAGAGTCTCATCTTGAGGCCACTGGGGGTTTTTAAAGCAGAGAGATGACATGAAGTTAGGGTTTTAGGAACGTTGATTTGGCAGTAGTGTTCGAGACAGTGGTGTGAAGAAAGATCGAAAAGGAGACCAGTTAGAAAGTTGTCTTAAATACGCAGTGACGAATGCCTGGGTTCGAGGCTCATTTTTGACGCCGTGGAAGTCTCGTCCAGGGCACAGAGGAGAAAAGCCCATAACTGGGGATGGGGAGGTGCCTCTGAGGGCAAGTGTAGCCCAGCTGGTGCACACGCTCACCATGGTGCACATGCTGTGGTGTGATTCACACTCCACGCCTGACCCCCCTGGCTCTGCTGGCCGCCTCTGGCCGGCCTGTGCCCTCTCACCCATTGCGTCTGCGCAGCCTCCCCGGTCGGTCCTCTGTGTGTTCTCGCTGGGTGACCTTCACCATTCCCGCTGTCGCAGGCCCTTCCTGCGTGTCTGTGTTCATCCCACACCGTCACTCTGACGCAGCTCTGTCCTCCATACCACCACACGGGTTTTCTCCTCTTTTTCTTCTCCTTCCCCTGCCTGCAGATGCCTGAGTGGCCCGACCTCCCCGTGGCCCTCATCACTCCTGACTCCGCCTTCTCTTTCAGTCCTGTGTCCACTTGGTCATCCGGTCCTACTGGTGCCATCACTAGGCTATGTCTAGCACTCTGCTTCTGGTTCTTCTACCCTGGTTCATGTTCGTGTCCTCCCCCACCAACGTTTGACTTTTAGGATCTCGGCTGTGGGCCAGCGATGGCAAACTCGAACAGACGAGCAAGATGGTGTGTGTCTCGTTGTGCCGTCCCCTCAGCAGCTCTTGTCTGTAAATGGAACCTTTTCAGCTCTGAGTCCCTTGAAGGCAAGCATTGCCCATCCTGTTCACAGTCCTGAGAAAACTCTGTTTATTGGTGTGGTCGCTGGGAGAAAAATGTATTCTAGTTCGCAGAGGAAGTTTGGTCCAGTAGAGTTGAATGTAACTCAAGTCTCGCTTCCTACTTTTTAAAAATCAGAATCAGATGTTTCATTGTAAAAACAACTTTGCAAGCATTGGTTATAAATGTATTAGCTCCTGAAATTGTAGTCCCATTTGGAGAACACTGTGCAGAGTGCGGACAGAGTAGGGGAAAGACAATACGCATTGTGTGCACGATTTTGGAATACAGCTGAGATGCCGTGGAGTCTGACAAAAGGAAAGACCCGAGTGGGGATGTTGGTCAAGGACACTTCAGTGACGCACATAGGGTCCAATCTGGGCTTTAAAGGAAACGTCTGCTTTTCATCTGCAGAGGTGTGAGGACGCTCCGCGGCTGGGGAAGTACGTGCATGAGTCTGGAGCCAGGAACGAGCAGAGGGAGGGAGGGAAGACGGCCTGCCAACTGAAACCGAATTGGTTTTAGTGAGAAATCAGGTTGGATATTAAAGTCGGCCAGTTCAGGGAAGAGGAGGCATGGAATACGCTGCTGAGAAGTTTAAATTTAATCTGTTTCCTACCATGAATTCTTAATCGGGAGGCAGTGTTCACTAGCAGTCACTCTTCCCTTGCCTATGGTCAAGCAACTTTTCAGGGGTCAAACCCAGGTCTTCTGAGCCTGCAAAGAAAATCCATTTGTCTGCGGCCTAGCAACAATGGAACGAAACAGGCCCGGTGGTAAGAGGTGCCCTGTGCTCAGAGTCAGAAGAGGTGGGGGCAAGCAGCCAGATGGCTGAGGCCCAGTTCTCTTACCTGCTCAGTGAGTGCAGACTAGTTAGTTATCTTGGAAGTTCCCTGCAGATCTAAAATCCAGTGATTGGGCTAAAGTAGAGGTTGTGCAAGGTGAAAAGAGGAAGAGTCAAAGATGACGCTTGTCTAGACAAGTTTTGAATCTTGGAAAACAGTGGCACTATTTACTAAACTGGGGAAGTGAGAGAAGGAAGCAGATTTTTAACCTGTTTCATCTTTTTGTTTGAGCACTTGCCTTTTTTGTAGGGAGGACATTGTTTGTTTGGTTTGAGGCAAATGGAGTGATCCTGTAGGCAGCTAAAGATTTCTGAGTTAATCCTGGGTGGGTGGTTAGGGGTGGAAGTGCAGCTGGGGGGTCATCAGCGTAAAGGGATCTTCTGAGCCTGTGCGTGTGCAGGGGCGTCTACCCAGAAGCTGCAGAAACACTGCCGAGGAAGACACGTGGTGGCTGAGTGGAGGAAGAGCAGGTGGAAAATTGGTAGGAACTGGAAGAGCAGAGTGTTGCAACACCAAAGGAAGTGAGGGTTTCAAGGAAACAGGTATGAAGGCTGTAGTGTCAGGTACACGGAAAATGAGGATGTGTTCAAGTCACTCTCGACCTGGGCCTGTGGTCGCTGGTGGCAGTAGTGCCATCCCAGGGCAGTTGTGGAAGCAGCGGCAGGGTGAGGTCAAAATTGTACGAAACTGTAGGTAACTCAGTAAAAACAGCTTTCTTTCTTTCTTTCTTTCTTTTCTTTCTTTCTTTCTTTCTTTCTCTCTCTCTCTCTCTCTTTCTCTCTCTCTCTCTTCCTTTTTTCCTTCCTTCCTTCCTTCCTTCCTTCCTTCCTTCCTTCCTTTCTTCCTTTTTTAAACAGACAAGAGTAATTGGAAAAGTATTATTTACCCACCTAGGGGTGGGATTTGGGGGTCATTTGGTAAGTGTACACCTAATTTTGAGAAACAGCTGAACTTTTTTCCAAAGTGACTGTGCCATTTTGCACATCCACTGGTAACACACGCAAGTTCCAGGTTCTCTGCCTCCTCGGCAGCACTTGGCGTTGTCGGTGTTGGCATTTGCTTTCTTCTCTAAGCTCTGCCGCAGTAAGTATGTAGTGGTGTCTCCTGGTGGATCGAATTTGCATTTTCCTGGTGACTAATGATTTTGAGCATCTTTTCATGTGTTTAGTTGCCACCTCTGTCTTCCATGGTGAAGTGACTGTTCAAATCTTTTCTCCTTTTTAAAATTGAGTTCGTTTTCTTGTTAAGTTTTGAGAGTTTTAAAAATACATTCTGGATATGTCATTAATCAGATGGGTGATTTGCAAAGGTTCTCTCCCTGCCTTCCCACCCAGTTTTGTGTCCGTGTGACGGCGTGAGAGCACACTCACGGAAAGCACTTCTGCTCTCTTGTGAAATAAGGCGACTGTGCCCAGGAAAAGTGGAAACGTCTAGTTTTTCCCCACACAGAATTCCACTTTTACTTGAAAGAATGACCGACAAACTGATTATTCAGATGTGCCTATGTTCTCAAATCTCAACATTGTCTAAAAAACACTTGAGAGACTTTCTTTATAATGCATGGGGCACACCTGTTGCTTCAGGGAAAACACCTGACAGTGTTTTTCCTGATGACAAGATTGGAGTCCCCTCCCGTAGAATCGAATCTGACAGATTTTTGATACGTAAGTGTTTCTGGTGAGACTGGTGGTGATATGACATGATTTTGGATGTTGTATAATGGACTGAGCCAGCTTTTGAAAGACCTGTGACCCTCAGTAAAGCCGTGCTGTCCACCCGACCAGCCCACGGTGTTCTAAAACCCTGCGTGGGTGAAAGATCTGCTCAGCCTACAAGGCAGAGCAGAAGGGTGTCGTGTACAATAGTTCAAAAAGTCAGTGATCAAGTTTCAGGTTCCACACTGCAGCCTTTGAGACACTGCCATCTGTTGTGTTTTGGCCCACAGTTATCTGCAAAAACTATGAAAATAGCCCTCCCTCTCCCAACTATATAACTATATGAGACTGGATTTTGATCATATACTCAACCAAAATGTGTATCAACACACTGAACGTAAAAGCAGACATGTAACCCAACTGTCTTTTGTTAAGCCAGATATTAAAGAGATTTGAAAAAATAAAAATATTAAACAGTGCCATTCTTCTCACTAATTTTTAAAAGTTCATTTTTATAAGGCCTGGCTGGCGTAGCTCAGTGGATTGATTGAGGGCTATGAACCAAAGTGTCACAGATTCAATTCCCAGTCAGGGCACGTGCCTGGGTTGCAGGCCACGGCCCCCAGCAACCGCACATTGATGTTTCTCTCTCTCTCTCTCCCTCCCTTCCCTCTCTAAAAATAAATAAATAAAATCTTTTTTAAAAAAGTTAGTTTCTACAAAACTGTTAACATGTAAGTTCATTGTAATTTTTAATTAATAATTATTTGTAAATACGTTTGAATTTCTATATCAATTTAAGTTCTTTGGAGTTTTCAATAATTTTGAAGATACAAAGCAGTCCTCAGACCAGAAAAAAAGAAAAGAAAGGGTATGGACTGCTACCTAAGAAAACCCGATCCCAGCTTTATGGCTGCGTACTGCTGGTGGAGACAGTGGTGTTCCCTAGCCCAGGCTTCTTAGGTTTGAGGTTCCTGGTTCTCAAAAAGGAATTTGTATTTACTTTACATAATTGATCAATTTTACATTCTTTAAAATGAGATACTGTTCTAGACCCCTCTTTCACTGCCTTCCATGATCATACATGACACCCACACGCACAGATAAACCGAGTGTCTTGTATGATGGGAATATGCGCACCTCCTCCTCTACCACATCAGCCAGACACCTGGATGGACAGTGAAGACAGTGGATTCACCTCTCGCCGCCTTAGGCCTCCCCCCTTTGTCTCAAATAGAGTTTCTCACTGCACTGCAGTACAGGCTGACGGGAGAGGAACGAGGAGGGACGTGCCCAGCACAGGGACTGGACGTGAACGTACCTTGTAGATGCACTGCAGACCGTGGAGCTCAGTGGTTTACTCAGCCGTGGCCCCGTAGCCATGTGGAGCCTGTATTTTAACACTCCGCCTTTTCCCTCTCATCAGTATTCCAGACGAAATATTGTCAGACACTTTGCTTCATTTTTGTTAGTGCTTTCTCTTCTGGTACTTGAAATGTCAGCGGGAAAAGGATGCGTGCAAATTCTGTTTTAAAGTGACAGACACCAAACACCCTCATTGAATATAGAGAACTGGTTAGGAAATCACAGAAGAATCAAAACAGATCTCTTAGTTTGGGCGCAGAGAAGTCATTATCTCTGTACACAAGAGACCATGCGGTTATAAAATGACTCTGTTTTTGGCTTATGTATGTGGCAGTGTTAGATAACATTTAAGTGGCGGATATTGGCCCAATGGGCAGAAGGAGACTTCTTAAAACTTTGTGACAATATCTGATCTAAAAGAACACTAGACCATAGCACTTATGGCCAAGTCCCACTCCAGCCAAGCAACACACCAGTCTGCTCAAGTGCACTGCTCAGCCCAGGAAAGTGGATGTAGGTAAAGCTGATGGTGTTGGGAAATCATCTCATGAGATTTGGGGTTTTTAAATGTCCCAAATAAAAATACTAACCTCTAAAAGATTAGCTGAGTAAGAGTAACCCTCCCTCCACCCTTTTTACCTCCCCCATGCTCCCCTCCAAAAAATAGAAAAGCCGTATTAGGACTTTTCCATCTAATGTAAATTACTGTCCCACCCAGTGGCAGCATGTGGGAATGTTAATGGCCCTTTAATTAATTTGTAGGGTTGCTTCTACTACTGCTTTTAGCACAGTCTGTTTGGAACATAATTAAATTTTTGTCCTTCTCAAACTTGATTATTATAGCTGCTTAAATAATGGCTATTTGATTCTGGACCTCAGCTGAGAACATAATACTTAGACTGTTACTTTAAAGTTCTGAACTTTGATATTTGCCTGTGAAGAGCCTTCTGTAAAGACTTTCATACACTTCTGGGAATGGTGGCTGCTGCCGAGGGTGGTGTGTGACTGTAAATGTTCACTTAAGCCATGCACAAGCTGGTTCCTGGAGCAAGCGGTCTGTGACTCCTCCCCTCTCCCCACCTTGATTTCAGAGAGGTGCAGAAGGCTGTCAACACTGCCCAGGGGCTGTTTCAGAGATGGACAGAGCTCCTCCAGGACCCCTCCGCGGCCACCAGGGAGGAAATCGACTGGACCACCAACGAGCTGAGAAACAACCTACGGAGCATCGAGTGGGACCTCGAGGACCTGGACGAAACCATCAATATCCTTGTTGGTGCTGCCTGTGCCGTTGGGGGCAAGAGGCAGAGGAGCGAGTTCCCATCCAGTGGCTTCAAGCACATAATTGAGCGTTTCCTGTCATAATCTATCGATGTTGTTCTTATTTGGACCATGACACACTTAATGTAATTGCCCAGTAGCTACAGTAGGGTGGCCAAATTCTCACATGATGTGTGGCACATCCTGTACCACGGGGCAGCTGGCGCAGCGGTCATGCACGAGGACCGACCCTGCAGTCGGATCAGGTGTTCAGGTGCGCGGTGCCTCCGTGTCCATTCCAGTAGAAAGTCAGGATAACAACCGTACCTCGTTCCTAGGGTTGCTGCACGTTTAACAGGTGAAGAGCCTATGAATGGTGCCCGACCCAGGGAGTTTCTGTACAAGTGTTAGTAGTCGGCACTGCATAAAGGTGCACACCTATATAGGAGTATTACCTTAGAGATGTTGGTAATTAGAGACCAAAAGAAAAGCCTTCTGTAGATTGCTTTTCCCTTTTCAAGAAGTGACGTGACAGTGCGGGTGTCCATTAGAGAGGCACCTTTTTTCGGAGAACGGCACTCAGTGACAGCACGCCTGCTGTATCATGCTAAGGGATGCCATCGATGTGAAATGGGTCTGCTGCCCTGACCGACGGACCAGAGGACTGTAAAAGCTGAAACGGCATGGCCTTTTCCACTGGAAACATCCCATTTAATCAAAACTTTAGATTGAAGACGTGCCAGTTGCATGGTCTGATGTTCTATTTTGTTTATTTTCTAAGTGAGATAAAGAAATCAGATTGTCAGGGTCACTCCCTAGTCGGCACAGGTTCATGCACAGTTGATGTGTGAACTGCATCATTTTTATTAATCTTAATGACTCCGGCACCTTCTGAATTATTAAAGGACAAGTGTGTTTTCTAAAGTGAATGGAACAAAATGTGAGGGGGTGGGATCAAAAGCACAGTTACAGGAAGATATATTTTCCCTCCAGGCAGGAGGGAAGAGAAAAGGATTGGGGAAGAGAGAGAAATTATCAGAGAAAGGATACAAGTTGCGATAAATATTCAGTTACTGAGTGTCTCACGTGCTGCACATTTCATTATTGCCAAGACTGGATTGATAAGCAGAACAACGTACCAGCCCTTGTAGAACTGACAGCGAGCGGCAGGGAGGGACTCGGGGGAACAGACATTAGTCAGACTGCAGCACAGATGTACACTGCAGACTCGGAGAGAACACTCCAGAGAGCCTTGTGAGTGTCTGCCATGGGAGCGGGGCAGGACCGGGCTGGGGTGAGGAGATTGGGGGGAGCTTTGCTGGAGAGGCCTCCATCTCTATAGATTAAGAAGCAGGGTTAGCTTCTCCACACTAGTGGAACAGTTTGGAATGGCAAATGCAAGAGGCTTGCAAAAGCCATAATGGGCAAGGTGATCTGGAGTCGAAAAAGAATAGACACAAAGTGCTGGCAGGCCCCTGGCAGAGCCCCACCAGGCCCCCAGCTCCTAACCCGGCAGCTGCCCAGGCCCCGGGGCCCCGGGTCCTCCTGCAGCGGCGGTCGAGGGAAGTCTAAGCCTTCAGAAATGTGGGGCCAGACCTTACTACCTGCCTGTGAAAAGCTCTGTGTTTTAAAACTCTGGGTTTGTTAGGCTCTTGATGATGACACGGCATTTCCTTGACTCTTTGACCCACGCATCGTGGAAGCAAATCCTAGGAAATTCAATCTCGATGCAACTGAGTTGAGCATAAGAAAATCCTTTATCACAAGCACTCGGCAGGTCGTCAGGGTAAGGAGTGTGACCTGGTCGTCCTATTTGTGTGAAAGTGGCTGAGCTTCTCAGAACGCTTTCCGTAATTGCAAACTAATACATCCATTCCGAAACCACTTTTTCATGTGAATTAAATGCCAGTTTCCCACTTAGAATTTCTCTAATTGAAAAAAAAGAAGACTGTCTCTAGTCCTGTTGCCAGGCCTATCTCCCAGAGCAGAAGCGGGAGCCTGCTGCTGGCTTCCGTGCCTCCCGCTCCTCCAGACCCGGTTAGCCACCTTTCTCCTTGCTGTTTCTCACCGTGCTCTGTTTCTGGGCCAAAAGAAGAATTGCTATTGTAGAAACCGTTTGGTTTCTTGATGGATTTGTAATCACTTTGCATTGTGAAGAGTGACTCTTCTGGGTTTGGACGGTGGCCTCTTACCATCTGAGTTTCAGCTTCTGGAACTCTCGCTGCCCGTGTTACTGACGTTTCTGTGTACCCCTGCTCGACAGGCTTCCGGGAGTCACCAGAGCAAGCGGGCACCCTCAGAGTGCAAAAACCAGTGCAAGTGAACACGTGTGTCATCTCAGATTATTTAGAAAATAACCTATTGTTTAAAAGCCCAAGCGAAAGCATCAGTTGAATAAAATCTTGTATCGTTGAGATACGTTTGTGTTTTGGAAGTGTGTGGCTAAGCCGTTTGATTAGCATAAGTAGATGTAAGACAACCAGCTGTCTTTAACATATGCACTAGAAAGCAGCTTCCTTGCATAAAAAAACTTGGGATCATATCAGCGCTAACATATGGCTTTGTAAGAGTCATCCTAGGCAGGAACCTTGGTATACGTTTGCCAAAGGCTTTATATCGTGTGATTTCCTTTTGAAATTTTTTCAAATGGTAGGTTGTCACAGAACTTTATTCTCGTTCCTTGTTTTACTCATCAGCTGCCTTTCTGTACACAGATATCTAAACTGTGTATAAATAAGCACTTTAATGGGGCAGTAAAGTGTTTGGAGCCCCAGGGCCCCCATCTCTGTAATGAGCATTTGGATTAGACAGTCCTCATTTCTAGCCAGTTCAGAAAGCTGTTCCGATAAGGAAGCTCCATTGTTCGGTGAGGTGTTTTTTGGTAAGTTAAGCAACTCCTCCGTTATTTATTTTATAAATCTAGTTTGCTTTTTTATTTTTTGTAATAGATTTTCTGAAGGACACTTCTGTAGTTGTTGGCATTTAAAATGGTACCTTGTAATGAAGCATATTTTTAAGAACTTTTTTTGAAATGTTTATTTTATTCTCATTTGAGAGAGGGGAAAGGGAGAGGCACAGAGAAAGAGAGACATTGATGTGTGAAAGAAACGTTGATTGGTTGCCTTCTGCACATACACTGACCGAGGATCAAACCTGCAGCCCAGGCATGCGCCCTGACCAGGAATCGAACCAGTGACCTCAGTTACAGGACAGCGCTCTGGCCGAGCCACACCGGCCAGGGCGGAGCATGTATTTCTTGACCTTATTCATTAGAGTTGTTCTTTCTGCAAGGTTGTACTTGTAAATTTTGCAAACTGAAATTCAGAGGTTAATATACTGAATGTTAAGTTAGTTGGTATAGTTGGAAGTAGAATCCAAAGTTTGTATTTCTAATATCAGAAACATTGTGTAAAGTGTAGTCTCCGAAAGAAGCATTCTAAATCAAATCCATACATCACAATGTTGTAGCTTTTGGAGCTGAGACCTAAACCAACCTCAGCTATACATGATCCCACTGAGTACACTAGGGCTCCTGTCATCTCGTTTCAATGCGAATGAAGTCTGACCGAGGTCCTGGAGAAGAGGAGGAAGCCACGCAGCTGCTACTCAGACGCACCCCCTCCAGAGCCTCAGCACTGCTGGTCTACCAGTCACTTGCCAGGGGTCTTGGGAGTTTCTAAAAGCCGAATAGCTCACCGTTTGCATCTATAAAGCAGTCTACTGGCCAAAAGAAAATTATAAAGTATTTTGCCAGCCTTTAAGAAAAACTATATTACAGTAATTTTGTATTCAGATCAAATCATTTTAAAGTGTATTGGATTGTGGTTATTATAGATGATAGCAAATTGGCTCCTATTTAACAAAGTGTTTTTTTCTTCACTGTATGTAATGGGTCCATTCATTTTTCTTTTCACACAAAATTATTTCTGGTGCCACTCTGGAAATTCACTGTGGTGTTAGAAATGGTCTACACTTCACATGAATCCGACTCAAATAAAATAAGTGACCTGCTTGTTGCATCACTATTGGAAAGCTTTTGCAGGTTCTCAGTGGAAACTACCCTAAAGTGTGTGGCTTTTCACATGTATTGTACTTGAAGACGCTGGCCCTCCAGCACAGGGGTTTGTGCCCGAGCCCCCAGGTGGCCACTCTATGACTGTGCGGCCTTGAGAAAGCACCTGGAGCCGTTGTGGAGCTCAGTCTGCAACTGTAAACGAGAGAGCAGCAGCTGCCTGGGTTCTTCATGAAAACTCAGTGATAATGTGTGTGAGCGTTTAATGGCGCTTCTGGCGTATTCCTTTCCTCTTCTCTCCTAATTAAATTTAAGTGCCCATGCCTTACCAGTGTGGCGTTGGTTGGGTGTCATCCTGAAAAGCAAAGAGTCACCAGTTCGATTCCCAATCAGGGCACATCCCTGGGTTGAGGATTTGGTCCTGGTCAAGGCCCGAACAAGAGGCAAGCCTTCAGTGTTTCTCTCTTTCTTTCTCTTTCCTTTCCCCTCTCTCTAAGAATAAATAAACAAAATCACCTAAAAATTTATAAATTTAGTACCCAGTTTACCGCTGTTTTAAAGGGACATTTTTCTCTTTAATTCCTTTACTTTTGGAACTTAAAAAAGTAAAAAAATGCTGTCTTTTTGTTTTAAAAAATGAACAAATTATGTGTATTTTGCTAATGCACAAAATGTTGACCGTGACTGTGTCTCATCTAAGGATATGTGTTTGTTCTTGGTCTTCTCCTTACCTCGTTAGGACATGAAGGACCAGATGTCAGCCTCATCCGTGCAGGCATTAGCTGAAAGGAAAAACAGACAGGTGAGCAAGCATCTGAATACATGGTATCAAATCAAACACATGGTTAAATACTGGAATTTCAAAATGCTGACATCTGGGTAACGTGCGATTGAGCAGAAGCCCTGTGCTTGCTGAGCCTGGAGGGAGGCCGGCAGTTGCGGCAAGGCCAGTCGCCAGCCCGCCCCAGCTCCACTGCCGGCTGCCCCCAGCCTGCCCACCCTCCATCCCTCCCGGCCTCTGCTTCTCTGCTCTGGGTTTCCCAGGGCCCGTGCTTACTCTTCTAGTTCCTACCACACGGCCATTTATTCTGCACCTGCTGGGCACAGCCTCTGTGCCAGGTTCTGTTCAGGGCTGTAATTGCTTAGTTACTTGTCTTTTTCTCTGCTGGACTCCAGGCTCCTTGATAGTAAGGAGGGATTGTGTCGTGGTTTTCTGTTTTTTGGTGATGGTGGTGGTGTTCATTTCTATCTGTTATTACATGGCATACCCCATAGAACTCAATAGGTATTTCATGATTGAAATTTTATGAAATTTAAAATGAAATGAAAGACATCTTAAATGTGTGTAAATTTAATGTGTTACATTTTTCATCATATTATTTTTTTTGAGGTGAGGTCCAGTTTTTATGTTTTCACAAATAAATTATGAAACCTAATACATTTCAGAAACCAAAGCACAGATGTTGACACATCTAAAAAAAAGGTACAAGAGGGCAGTTCTTGGATTTTAGGTATATTTTTACAATTAGACACTTTGATAACTGACAGAAATTCCTTTCCAACAGATAAAAAATACAGTCCTTTTTAAATAATATATAACAGTCCCCTAAATTATAGACTTGATTTAAATTTTATTCAGACTACATAAAGTTTCCAATAGTCCATTTAGTAGATTCTTAGGAAGTCAGCTCACTGTTTTTAACTAACTAGGAATCAGGAATCAGTCCATGATGTAAATTTCTGCTTTGCACCTGTGGGTGCTTGTTGACCCACTTCATTCTGAAAGCAAACATACAAGCTCAGCGAAGTAGCAGGGCTCCAAGTATCACCTCGCTCAACCTTCCCGGTGCCTGCCCCTGTATTTCATTTTTCAAGTCATTGTTGACTTGAAAATGAGGGTGGGCAGGCTGGGGTTGGTTTTTCCTTCCTGTCTACCTTCCTTGTGACAGTGACGTAGTCACACCTGTCTCTCCTAGTCTCCAGGTAGTGTAATTGAATGAACAAATGAAATGTGCATTTCGAGTCCCTAGAGTCTCTGTAGCAGAGCCAGCAGATGTTTTAAATCCTGACCCGAGACCAGCTCGGGGCAGAGCCATCCGCAAGATCCCTTGGTCGCCTTCGTACCCGAGTCGGTCACCATCCAGCCTCCTAATTATACTTAGGCCCTGCTCTGCTGGAAGCTCCCAGACATCCCGATCCTCCTCCCATAACCACATCAGAATTATGCTCTGCATCCTGAGCCCCGGAGTCTAGCCCCTGAGGGGGGCCGTTTGACCAAATTCACCTCTGAAAGTCCAATGAGGAGGTCAGCTTTGTTGTTGAGGGGCTTTGGGGGGCTTTTCAGAGAACCAAGCAATCAGGCTTTTAATAGTTCCAGAAATCAAAAGCACCTGTAAGAAGATCTGGCAACTAGAAGAAAAAAGAACCTGAGTCACCAGCGGGTTCTGGTTCTTTGTGCAGCGCTGGTGCGAGCTGGCACTCTGACCAGCTGGTCAGAAAGGTTCGCAGGGGTCCCAGTCACCAGCAGCCTACACTGAGCACTCACCTTCCTGGCTGGCCTCTGCATGCACGGAAGACACTCCCCAGTTCATCCTTTTCTGACTACAGACTTCCTTGAATTCTTACTGGGGAAGCTGACGCTGGCATCTAGATGCCCTGGTGGCGAGACTGAGTTCAGGGCAGGCACTCGCCCAGGTTACTGGGGTCAGTCAGGCACCCAGTGTGGCCGTGCCTGCCTGGTGGAGCTGCCCCCAGCTCCCCATCGGTGAAGCCTGTAGCCTTCAGTTCAGCGGGCGGGCACTGGGGTTTATTCATGGGCTAAGCTGCACGCACGTGGATGGCTCCTGGGCTCTTACGCCTTCTGTGTGTGAGACTGACTTGGCTTCTTGTCGTTCTAAGAACCACCTTGTCCCTTTCAAAACCCAAAAACCTCTTGGGTCACAGGACTCCAGATCTCTGGAGTCACTTAGACCAGAACCTGGGGGTCTCTGGTGAACTTCTGAAGGTGCTAGGCAGAGCTGGCCTGGAGACTAAGTGTTTTTAGATCTTCAAGTGTGTACAGGTGGGCATTTGTTGACTTACAGTTGACATCTGTTTGCATTTTAATGGGACAAAGCCCATCTGTGAGTCCCATTGGTTGAGCCCAGGGACAGAGAGCCCCTCCTGGCATCCCTTACATTGGACCCACAGGAACCAGCCTGCACCACTACTTAAAGGCGGCCTGGGGAAGTAGATGGTGAGCAGTGGGAGCACTCTGTGTCTCCATGATGGAGCACGTGTTCAGAGACCGTAACCCTTCGTCTCCCCTTCCCCCTCGGGCCCCTGCCCCACCCCCGCAGGCACTGCTGGGAGACAGTGGCAGCCAGAACTGGAGCACTGGAGCACCGGACAAATATGGGCGCCTGGACCGCGAGCTCCAATTAGCCAACTCTCATTTCATCGAGGAGCAGCAGGCTCAGCAACAGGTACTGGGAGCCGCCCGCTGAGGACGGGTGTGGAGGCAGGCGCCTCCCCAGTTCTGCCAGCCACCGGGCTTCGCTGGTGACAGGCAGGCTGGCCCAGAGCTCGCCCTGCGGCCGCCCCTGCCCACCTGTGTGATGACGGCACATACAAAGGGTTTCCAAAACCTCCTCTAGACGCGCACGACTGTTTCCGGAGAGCTGGGCTTGATTAGGCCTCTTAGGAAAAGCGGGCCATGCCTCCAAAACAGACCAGGCCCTAACTTAAAAACGAAAACAAAAGAGCCCCTCTTCCCCAGCCTCCACTCGTTTACTCAGTTTTTTGTTCGTTTTTAAAAAGGCGCACTTTCAGAAAAATTGAGTCCTGGTTTTTTTCATTTATAATTATTGCTGGTTTCATTACATATAAAAATGGTTGCTTTAGTGGAGGTGAAGGGTAGAAGGGAGGTTAATTACATCTGTGTTGTTACTTCTGATGTGTAGTCTCAGTGAAAAAAGCTAATAATAATACACCTGAGGATTTGAAGATTGTCTACCAGTTGAAGCTACTGGTTCTTAAATATTGTATTTTATGTATTTTTATATAGGTTATGTGTTCTTTGTCCATTAGCATGTTTGCTTACCCAGCTGTCTGCTAAAATTGATGTTAATAAAGTTTGTTTTTTTTTTTTTAACAAAAAGTGAGGAGGCTCCCACACAATTGAGTATTTATCACGAAGCAGTGGTCCTTGAGGTAACTCACTGCCGGGCCTCCTCTGGTTTGTCCTTGAGGAGGGTAGGAAAGGACTGTGTGTGTGGTTTTCCCACGTCCAGAGATTTGCCAGCCTCCCTTGTGTTTACGTCTGTTGTGGACTGAGACCTTGACCCTGGCAGTGGGCATCCTCTTCCCGGCACCCCCGTGTCTCAGTGGTCACTGTGCAGGTGCTTTTGGCCACTGTCTGTTCCCTTGCCGGACTCCAGCCAACCAGAGTAGATCCTTCGTGGTGGTTTCAGACCCGCTGACTGTTCCCAGTTGGAGCAGCAGGCGGTATCAGTAGCTGCACAGTTCGGCCTTTTGAGCAGTGTGCTCTTGAAGGCGACGGTCTGGGCCTTTGGTTTCTGGGCTTTGCTTCTGAGTGTGAGTTGTCCCGAGTTGGCAAAGCCGCGAGCAGCTGCTCGAGTGCTGGGCTTGGAACCAGGTAATATGGATTTTAATTGCTTGTTTCCGCTTCTCCGGCACCAGCTGATCGTGGAGCAGCAGGACGAGCAGTTGGAGCTGGTCTCTGGCAGCATCGGGGTGCTGAAGAACATGTCCCAGCGCATCGGCGGGGAGCTGGAGGAGCAAGCAGTGTGAGTCCGAGACGCCCCTCTCGGGCTGTGGGACTGAGGTTGAGAGCCATCCACAGGGCCCCTAGCGAGCCTGACTAGTAAACCCCAGAACTGCTTTATTTAGAGTTACGTTTTTATTATGTTTTACAGACTAGCCTCTCCAAAAGCAGCAAATTAACAGGGTTTTAGGCAGTTATGATTATTATTTTTCAGCACCTGCAAAAACAGACGCAGGCTGCTCTGTGCAGGCACTTGAAGTGTTGAGATGGGGGGGATGTGAGGCAGACGTGGCCGTGTGGCCCCTGTGGGGACCTGCGTCCCCAGAGGGTAGGTCGTGAGCTTACCATCATCCCATGGCTGTCCCACTGCATCGAACAGAACTTTTTGCTTTGCATCTTAAATTTCAGCTTTATGAGAAAAACTTAAAAAGTTAACTCCAATTAATAAAAAACCTTCCCCTTCAAAAATCAAAAGTAAAAACACACAAGGAAACACAGCTGGGTTTGTTTTTCCTTAAGCACGGTCTTTTTAAACTCTGAAGTATGACACCAAAATCAGCATTCTTAAATGCTACTACATAATACTTTTGCCATTTTAGTTTCTTTTTCTGAAACGAAAGACAGACAGTCCACCAGGACGTGTCAGGAAGTCTCCTGACCCCGTTCTGTGTTCAGCGGTGCGCGCGCACTCACCGTCACAGGTTCTGGCCGGGCCCTGCCGTGGGCGGCTCTGGGCACGAGCAGAAGAGCAGACGGAGCAGTCAGCATCTCTGCCTGCGGAGCCTCCCACTTTCTGGGCGGACGGGACTCGGCGGGGTGGAATGTGCGTCACTGAGGGGTGGCGGAGAAGGGGGGGGCTGCTGTGACGGGCAGGTTCCTGCTGCCCAGAGAGCCCTGACTTAGCCGAGCACACAGTTTTCTCTGCAGAGGCGTTCAGGTGTTTGACTGTGGGGACCGCCCCGGGCCCTGCGCGGGTATCGGCTAATATATGGCACATAAAACGCATTACTTTTTTTAAATTCCAAAAATTCTGAGTTCAAAAACCTGTCTGCCCCAAGGATTTCAGGCAGTAGGCTGGGGACTTGAATCCCAGCGGTGTCTGCCTCACGTTGCTAGAACCCAGGCCCAGATTCTGATCTAATTCCGTGACCGGCGCATCGCCGAGGCTGCGGGTTTACCAGCTGCCTTCTGCGTCTGCTTCCCTTTGCAGCATGCTGGACGACTTCTCACACGAGCTGGAGAGCACGCAGTCTCGGCTGGACAACGTGATGAAGAAGCTTGCGAAAGTATCTCACATGACCAGTGGTATGTATGGTGTTTAAAGCACGAGAACTCTTACCTAAGTCCGGACACAGTTTCAGGGGTTCTGGCACGTGTGCCCCACCACCTCCCTTTCCTGCGCACGTTTCTCCGCAAGTGCTTGGTGGTTGTGGTTGGCGGCTTTTCTCCTGATGGAGTGACTTTCTTTGCAAGTACAAAATCCTTTTGTATTTTATTTTTTCTCTAATTCCTTGCCAAAATTTTAAAACAATAATTAAGGAGCCATTTGCTGTTTCTCCTGCACTGACTTCATTGAAAGAAAAACCCTCACCATTTCAGAATAAGGTGCCCTTGCGGATCAAACTTAAATTCATAGTAAAATATTCTAGCAAATTAGCACCAGGATGGAGATGAAGAAGTAACATTTTTCAAATTAGTTACTATATAGGAAGATGTGTCCCAGTGTGTCTGTTTTTTTATTACTACAACCAACCTCCCCTATTACATGAGAAATAACATTTTAAATGGAAGAAGGTCCAGTTCTGTTTTTTGTTTTCTTTACTTGGTGGGGGCGGCTTGGCCGAAGGAGGAACTGAGACTCGCCTTGAGGTGAATGAGGTGTCCCGGAGCCTTAGCCCCCTCCCCCACGGGGATATCCTCTGCTTCTCCACACCTTGCTTTTCTGTTGGTTTCCCCATTGGGCGCATGCTATGAGAGTTTGACAGCTTAGCCGTCTGAGGCAAGGTTTAAATACACGTGTATATTTCCTTTTCAGCAGTTTAACTCATAGTCAAGTTACATGAACAGTTCTCTGGGGCTCAGTTTCTCGTTGATTAAAAAAACAGGGTGATGCCTGCCTCTCAAGGTCACGGTGAGGACTCACTGAAATAATGATAATCAGTGCACAAGTGTTTAACAGTGTCTCCCGTGTATTAGCATTTAGTATTTTTTTAAAAATCGTAAGACAGGCAGAAGTGGCCCTAAGGGGTGATGACCTATTATATCCAAAACAAAGGGAAGCTCCTAGCTAGGCCTAGTTCCTGCTTTCTTTTCAGGACTAAACATAAGTACTTCTAGCGGCCTTGTCATTGCCTAATGCGGGCACCAGCTCAGTTCACCTTTGACACTTGGAGAGAAAGGCTTGCAAAGTCATCTCTGACTCCCTCTGTTCTCTCCTCTTCCACCCCACCCTTCTGTTTTTTAAAAAAGGCTTTAATGAAGTATTATATAACCATTTTAAACACCAGCCCTCTCTCTAGTGTATGTATTAGCCACAAAGTCAAGTAGCTACTTCAGCACCAGTTTTGTTTGGGGAAGAGCAATTGAACAAAGATGCACTGTGTCTTTTCTTCCCAGCATTCTGTGTATGAATAATTTAGAAAAGTACTTGCATTGTGATAAGCTGTCCAGTGTGTATAAATAGCACTGAAACTTGTTTATGCTTTATTCTACTTTCTCCCGAAAGGAAGGTTTGGGGAGCAAAGTAAGAACTTTAGTTATATTTGTCTAGGAAAGAGAGCCGGGAAGCAGCATTGAGCCTGAAAGGCCCTTCAGTTTGGAGAGGTTGCCTGTGGTTTTCCTTTTCACCTTTGCTTGCTCCCCAAGACAGACTGTTCGGGGCCTCCTGCTTGGCGGTGTCTGCGTCCGTTTGAGGACAAGGCAGTCCGTATATGCATCTGTCCTCCGTAACTTTGGGGAAAGTTTACATACAGAAAGACACCCTGAAGTTCGATGAGGCAGTAACCAAGCACACGGCCCACGGCTCCTGAGATGGGAAACATCGGCTCTCCCACGGCCACCTGCCTTGTGGGCAGAGATCGCCAAGACCCCACACTCACTATTTTGAATCACCCAAGAGAGACACTCTCTCGTCATTCTACCCAAAGCACGTCCTTTTGAGGAGAAAGCAAGGTTTACTTCCCCTCACTTACCAAAAATTCTGTTATCTTTTCTCTTTAGGGGAGGAAAATATTTGGGGAGGAGAAAAAACTACCACCGGAGTCCCCTCTGTTCCCCTGCACCCTGATGCAGGTCTTGAGCTTGCAGGAAGCTGGTTAGGACTTCCCACTGGGTCACAAACAGCCCTTGTGATTAGTCCCCGCCCCTTCTCCCAGAAGTCAGCTTGGGTAACTGCTCCGTGGGGTTACCTAGTTCATGCTGCAAAGCAGCAGCTTACCGCTTCAAAAGAAAATGGCCTTACATGAGCATTCCTGGGTTGTGCTAGCTTGCACGATGGATGTTCTCCTTGATGAAAACCCCTATTTAATGCGATCTCGGAAGAGAAAGTGATGGCAGGTGGGGAGGGGGTTGGTAGAGGCTAACTGAAAGCCAAAAGGTGGAGAGCTGGTTCAGTGTTGGAAATCCGGTTTTGAAAATGGCAGGGTGCCTAGGCGTGGGGGAGAAGTGCAGGAATTAGGTGTGAGGTGGGGGTGGGGTGGCTAGGAAGCAGTTATCTGGACTGTTTTGTCTTGGGAGAATATGGACTGTTTTCAATGACAGTGGTTTTAAATTAGTGTAAACGTTTTTACGTAGGTGAAAGAATGTTAGCTACTGTAGCTTTCTTGACCACTGAAGTGACAGCTACAAGGATTAAAAACAGCAACTGGAGTAGGCCGACCCTGCCTACTTTGGAATAGTTCTTTAGAAAAGGAAGGTGTAGACTTAGGGTCTTTGCCCTCTTCACAGTTAGGAAGTGAGTTTCTAGTGTGTCTGACGCAGAGCAAGCTGGTCATCACCAAGAAGGTATTTGCTTCACTTACATTTTTTAGTGGAAGTTGTATTGGCTGCTTTTAGGATTTTGCTCTCCAGGACATTTGAAGTATTTTTTAAAAGTTCACATTTTATGGACTTAGTGTTGCCTTTTGGAGAGTTTTATGATCTATTTTTCTAGACCCAGACCTTTTCTTAAAGATTTTATTTATTTTTAGAAAAAGGAAGGGAGAAAGAGAAACATCAGTGTGTGGTTGCCTCTCATACACCCCCAACTGAGGACCTGGCCCTCAACGCAGGCATGTGCCCTGACTTGGAATCGAACCCACAACCCCTTGGTTTGCAGGCTGGCACTCTATCCACGGAACCACACAAGCCAGAGCCAAACCTTTTTATGATGTGATTCTCAATAGCCATGTTGTACTGAAATCTGTAGGCTTTCAAATAAGCTTCTGATGAATCAGAATTTGTTTACAGTTCTATCTAAATGGAACTCCTCTCTCTAGCAGTTGACCTACATTTTCATAGGATAGTGCAAGTTTTTTCCAGCAGTCTGGCTTGCTGTGGGAGATAGCAGGAGTCATCAATGGAAAGACCACCTGTTTTCTACACCTGCCCAAGTTCAAGACCATCCTGAAAAGGATAGCATCCTGTGCCTAAGAATGTGTAAGGATATTCTGGTCTGGCTTTGTCTCACAGCAGCCCCATGAGGCAGCTGTCCTGGAGTCATGGTGACTGCAATCCGGATTTGGGCTGGAGCTGGGGAACCCCTGGGACCCGCTCTGTCCCTCAGGGCCTCCTTGCTGCCAGCCATTGAGATGGACATGGACTCTAGCTACCTTGTTTCCTGTGCCTTTTCCAAATCGTTGGTGGGACAGAAAGTTTCAGAAAAGACGGTTCATTTTCATTGACATAAAAGCTGTGTAAGTTACTCAAACATGGTCACTGGTTAGTAATCTTACTTTTCTCCTAACTAGGTGTGGTGTGATGAATGCTCAGGATCTCTGGAGCTAGCTGTTTTAGCTCTTTGTTTTCTAAAGTGACCAGCTGTAACTTTTGTCTCCTTTCCAACCTGCCATAGTGCTTTGAGGATAGGACAAGATTATTACGGAATGAAATGATTTGACCTCAGTGGGAAATTAAAGCAGATGGGCTTTGATCCATAATGCCAGGGCCAACACCTTTTCCAGGGATGCAGTAACCACCTGCAGAAAGCTAAGCACCACAGGTTTTAATTAAAGACCTGTGACAGCACAGTCTTTTCACAGGGCAGCTTGTGGGGACGGCGAATGCAGGTGCAGTGCAGGCCAGGAGCAGAGCAGCGTGGGAGGACCAGGTGCCTGGGCAGGCTCGAGCGCCTCTCTGCCCCCATCACTTGCATATGCTGCCCCTCTTCTGCTTCAGCGGGTGGCCTTCAGTTTCACGGGACTGCCTCGGGGCAGGGGGAGTCCCTCGAGCTAACCCTCGTGTCCTGCCTCACAGATCGGCGCCAGTGGTGTGCCATAGCCGTCCTGTTTGTGATCCTGCTGGTCGTGCTAGTCCTCTTCCTCGTGCTGTGACAGCCCAGGAGCCGGGAGGAGGGCACGCAGTCCGCCCTGGGCCAGCTTGCACCATCCTCTCCTGAAAACACAGCCCGAGCTGACTTTTCTCTTTGCGACCCACCACTGAGACAGCTCCTCCGTCCCAGTGCTGCAGGGACCGGTGGGAAGGGGACGTAACACCTGCACACTCCAGGCGCCGCCTCTCCTGACCTGAGGACAGCTCGCCATGGCCTTGCCTCTCTGGACCTCGTTCCCTGTGGAGGGCCTCTGAGGAATCCAGAAAACTCTGCAGACTCAGTGAGTGTTCGCCACTGATCCTTCCATCCATCCTTGGCGGCCTCCTCCTGCTCAGACAGCAGCTACTGTCCCCTCCAGAAGGACCCCGTCAGGAACGGGGCTCTTCTGTCCCCTCCACTGCCCGAGAACTGGTGTCATGGGGCCAGAAGGCCCAGAAGCAGTTTGTGTCAGAAGACGCTGCGGTTCTTTCTTCGGGGATCAGGCTGCTTTCCCAGGCGTATCTCTTTGCGGTGAGAACAACGGAGGGGAAACAGTGAGCAGCACTGCACTCTGGGAGTGCCGACATGGGCGTCTTGACTTGGAGGAAGGGCAGCGTGACCCTGAGTGGGCACGGCTGGGCGAAGGGTGGACAAGGCCCTGGGAGGTCACAGCCTGGCTGAATTCAGGCGGTTGTCCCAACAGCCTCTCCCTCTCCCCGCAGAGGTGTAATTTTTATTTTTAGGGTGACCCTTAACCTATGGCTGCTGAGCGGCCCACTTGAATGGATTTAGACCCTGTCACACTCTGCCTTGGCAGGATGGGCTTGGGAAGGGGTGGCACATGTATCACACGTAGTTAGAAACTGCGATGACAGAAAAGGCTAGTTCTGGACCAGGCTGTCCTTGCCTTGTGAGTAATGGCAAAAAGGGTAGGCGAACTATTTTTTCCCCCTAAGCTGACATCTCGATTTTTATCTGCATTCCAATCACTGAGCCAATCCAAATTTAAACAACATATGCTTCAGTTGAGTTTTAGTTGCTGAGACACTAAACTTCGAGCTTCTGGTGACTCTGTAAATGCTTCCACGCGCACATGTACATGGCATATTTTTGTAACCGCCCCCCGACCCCCCACGAGCGGCCTAATATTGCAGCAGCGGCCGAGCGGCGCCGGAGCCCGGCAGCCACGCTGCATCTTCACCGCCACCCTTTGCACGCGCAAAACACAGTGGCCTCTGGACAGTTCTAGCGCTGGCTTCTCACCTCATCTTTTGGGGTCCATTCCTAACTTTTCTTAAAACTTTTTCTTGTTTTGTCTGTATTTCTTTGTTTTCATTTTGTTTTGGTCTCTTTTTTTTTTGTGATTTGCAATGATGTACTTGCCCAGCTAACTTTTGAATTGCACTTTTTAATAAATATTTGTAACAATTTTTAAAGGGTATTTTCTCATGTTTAGGATCGTGGCAGGTGAGGGAATCTGCACACCTATGAAAGCTGAAAGTAGATTTATAAAACTGAAAGGGTGGTTGGCATCTGTGTTTACATTCAACACCGTTTGATATATAAATATTTCTTCTTACATTAGGAAAAAAAGGTGATTATTAGAAAGGGCTTCAGATGGAGAGTACTAGAGTATTTGTTTCACTAAGTTTTGAGACTTACTCAAATAGTCTTCTTACGAACTGAGACCAGGCGGTCCTTAGGTTTGCACCAGAATACACAAGTCTTGGTTACGACTCTGTGAGAACGGGGGGCTTGTCCTGGGATTCGCACCCTCTCTCTCCGCGCCACACCGAGCGCCCGGATGCTGGCCCACGTGACCGCCGCACCTCGAAGCCATGCCGTGGTCCTGCTCTCCCCAGGTCTGCTGTGCCCTGCAGACCTGCCACGTGTGTGCCGGGAGGGCCTGCTGGGAACACGCCTGACCCTTGATGAATAGATGGATACTTCCCTGACTGACTTCAGGGACCAAGTTGTGTGACCCCGAGGCTTACTCACTCAACGTTTGGAGATATTTGGAATGGACATGCCCACCCCACCAATTTCAGTGTTGGCTACAGTGACTACTGCGGACCAGACTCGGCAGATGCTGAACAGAGAAACACTCGGAAAGAGGACACGTGCTGAGAACACGAGCTCTAGGCGCAATCTCCCTGGGGAGCTGCTGCGGTCCATGCTCGAAGGGGCCGTTCCTTGGCAGCCACCTCTTCAGGTATTCCCGAGCTGGCTCTGCCCCAGACTGCACTCCCAGCCCCACCGGCTTCGACCCCAGGTCCGAGCCTGTTGCACCCGGACTGGGCTGTCACTATAGACAGGAGGTCATTTGAAAGCCCTCCACTCGGCCTCCAAACTGGTGATCGAAGAGGATAAGCCGGGGGCTTAGGTTAGGCTTAGGCTGCTAGAGTCACATCCTTTAGTGGCAGAGCTGGGCTCCTTTCCTCCTTCAGTCCTCACACCTCACCCCACATTCATCACCGAAAGAACCGGCAGAATGAGATGGATAACAGAGAAAGAACTCCATTTGTGTTTATGGGAAGGACACGGCACTAACCACTGACTTGGAGGTAGAGGGAACACTGACCACAGAGTTTGCCGGGATGGGGCCCAACTGCAAAAGTAAAACACGCTTGGTTTTTCAGTCGAACATTTGACCTCGTCTTTGTGCGCGCCGCTGCGGTGCGGCAGCTGTGTCACAGGAGGATCTTCACGCCCGGGCCCAAGGGGGAGAAACTTGGTGACTTGCCCATCATTCTCTGCTTTTAGCCAGAGTTAAACAGACTGATGGGTTTGGGAGCCAACGACTTGGCAACCTCCCCTCCTTCTCACCTCGTGAGATTAGGGCTGTGAAGAGAAATCCAGTCTAACTCCAAGAGAAATCTGTCTCTGTTAAGGGCTGCACCTTCTGTACGTGAAGGCGGCGGAGCCAGGATTCTGCTCTTGGTAATTTTCCTGGCTGTAAAGTGGGACTGAGCTTCCCAGAGAATGCATAGCACTGGAAGATCTAAAATCTGAATGACAGAAATGCGCTGCTTCTCCACTCTGGACTTTGGACTCTGTGGCTTTGCCTTGTGAATGGCCGAACAGATCCGTAAACACCACAACATTCAGACTGTCTGGAAAGCTTAAGTTCTAAGGACGGGACGCACTTTCTTCAGTCCTCCCTCCCGTCTTTCTCTTGCTGCCTTTTCTTTCCCTCCCAGATAGTTTAAAAATTTTTTCCCCTTGAAGAGTGCTCTTTGTTCATCATGAGCAGAGAGAAGGTCAAACCAAAAGATTTGCAGACATGGAGTCCCTTAGCCGCTGTGTCTTCCCTGACCAAGGGCAGCTCCCGGGGAGTGCTCCGAAGCAGGGCCCTGTGAGGCCGCCAGTGGCTCCTCCCAGAGCCTCCGCTTCCTGAGCTTCCCGAGGCTGGCAGCTGTGTCACCTGGCTGGCACGGTAACAGCAGGTGGTCTTCCTCAATGGCCAGCTGCCCTTAGCCAGCCCCCAGCCTTCACAAAACATGCTTATGCTCAAAGGAAGGAGGCCCTGTTCTCGCAAGGCCTGCCTCCAGCTGTCACTCCCTCCGTGCTTACTTGATAATGGTCCCTGGGAAACTGCTGTCTGGGGTCAAGTTCAGAAACAGGGAGAGCAGGGAACAGTCCTGCTGTGGCCCTCCTGGTGATGGGGCTGACGCTCCAGACCAGCTGACTTCTGGGGTTCGTGTCTCTGACAGTAGTAAGCTCAGTGAACTTCATCACTTAGTTCAGTCTCCTTGTTTTAAAGATGAAATAGCAGCAACTCCTCCAACAGACACGGGAGTCCTTTGATGCGCTGCATCCTGAATTTGGCCCAGGGGCCCTCACATTCTGGGGCAAGCTGGCCTCAGCAACATGACTTCAGGGCAGCTGGTAGTGCCTTGTCATGGTCACCCTGACTGTTTGATGCCTTTTGCCGCTGGACAAACACCAAAGCTCTGAAAGGGACAGGCACCTGGGTCATGTTGCTGCCATCTACATATATTTGGGAGTTCTTTCTTTACTGATTCGGATATTTGGGGAAGTGAGGAAGAAAAAGAAGTAACTTGTTTCCTCGTGACGTAAGTCCTGGCGTTGGTGTTTTCCTTCTGAGGTGACCTTTGTCCTCCCGAGGCCGGGCCAGGGGAGCTGCGCTTCCATCACCATAACCTGCCCAAAGCTTGGCTTTCCCATGGGGCAGCTCAGGGACCAGGTTTGCCAGCTGCGGCCAGATCCTTGTGAGGAGGTGTGTTTCCCCATTTCGTTTTTAAGGCTGTGAGCGTTCAAACCCAGAAGCCACCTGGTTCCTTCGGAGGTGTTAGATACAAGACCACCCAGCTTCGCTGTTCTCTGACCACAGCTTTCCTGGCCCTGGTGGCAGCCGGGGCTTCTCTCCAGCCAAGCTTTCTGTCAGCCCCAGGGTGGGACCAAGTTCAAGGTGGTTCTTCCCTGCTCTGCAGAAAGTAGGTTTAGCTGAGACCCACTACTGAATGGCAGTTTCGGCCATGCAAATAAGGTCTCTTCTGGGAGAGGCAGATGTCCTAGTCCTCGGGAAAACAGAGTGCTCCGTCATCCACGTGGAGCAAGCAGAGGCCAGCCAGGTGTCCCTAATAAGCTATCAGACCTGCTTGTATGAGAAATGCCATGTGATTACATCCTAACTGGCCCAGGCTGGGAAAATGCCCAGCGCAAGGGGCAGCCTGGAAACCAGGGAAGGGCCAAAGAAATGATTATGGATTCATTTTCTTGTTAAGTGGAAATATGATTTTACTGGCTCATTTGTTATTAGAAATGAGTATAATTTAAACATAGAATGTGTACTACATGGCAATGCTCAGCAGGACTAAACTGTCATATTTTTCTTCCAAGGATAAATAACCTTACGTCGTTTCTTTTTAAATAACTAGAAGGTACAAACTAAAGAAGTGAGATCAAAGATTAGAAGTGAAAATGCCTGGGTGATTTCCAGACGGTGCTTCCCCTTGTCCCCCAACCCCCAGCAGGTTGCCAGAAGCCTGGTGTCGGAAGTTTACAGCCCTCGCCATGGGTAGATAGGTCTGGCTTCTCTGTACGGTGGGTCTCCCAAGTGTAGGATCAGCAACAGCAGCATCTCCTGGGAACTTGTTAGAAACTTAGATTCTCAGGCCCACCCGACCCGAGGGCTCCCAGAGGGGGTGGGGCCAGCAGGCTGTGTTTTGTCAGCCCCCCAGGAGATCCTGAGCCCTCTGCAGTCTGAGAACCACTGCTACTGCTTTGTGGGATTCAGGCTCCAGCGAGCCATCCCTGCAAAACAAAGCATCTCTCACGGCGCTCTCTGTGGTCCTGACATTAAACAAAATTTGATGACACTATAAACTGGAAAAATGTTTTTAAATACTTGTGTGAAATGAAACTTCAGCTAGCTGTCCTTTAAAGTGATATTTTTACACCCGAAGTCTATCAGCAGTGTTTTTTTTTTCCTGCTCTTGAAGTCATGTTACAACTGTATAAAGGATACTATTCAGTATTAAAGAGAAATGGAGAGACCATGAGCTTTGTCCTGGGTTTTCATTTCTTTAAAGTTTGGTCGGTTGGTTTCTGTTTTTGTCCTTTTCATACCTAAACATGGCCCCGTGCCCTGCACCCCCACTACTAATCTTGGACAGGAGTGTACACCTGGGGCGGGACGTCTGTGGCTGCTGGAGAGCCGAACCCTAAACTGCGCTTTCTCTGGCTGACCTGGTTATGTGGATTCTTAAGTCCTTCACCCCCCACCCCCTGAAGTGTCAGCAAATGACACTGGCCACCCGAGTCTGTCACTGGAAGCGCCTGCCCTCAGTCCGGTGCAAGACGACAAGAGGAGGCTACACAGGCTCCCTAGGGGCGGGCATCTGCAACCCACTGGCCGAGACCACCCTCACTGATCCTCCTCACTCGTTAGTCGGGCATCTCCGTTGATGTGCCAGGCACTGTTCTAGGTGCTTTGTCTGGATTAACGTCCGTAATGCTTAAAAACGGCTGTATGAAAGTGTGATGGTCTTTCCTCATCGCATCTGGTGATGAGGAAACTGGGACACAAGTACTGACTCAAGGTCACACAGCTGGTGAGAGGCAGAGCCACTTACTGTGCCAACTGCAGTGCCTGGCACAGAAATTGGCACCTCCGTGCATCCCAAGTCCTGGGCCTGAGTTCCCCTAATATGGTAATAACCAGTGTAGGAAGGGAAAAGACAAATCAGCATACTGACGAGCCTTGCTAAAGGAACCTGTGCCTATTCTGAGGATCCTGGTTCACACTTGAGGAGGAAGAGCTTCAGGAGGAGGAAATGGCTATATGCATCCTCTCCTGAAAGCTGATCACTCCTCTGCACCCACGGGGAAATGTGGACTATGGTGTGGACAAGGGGAGCAACTGAATCTGCAAGTGCTGTGGCTCCACTCGTGGCTCTGCCGTGTGGCTGCCATTCAGAAGGTCCCCACTGGCTGCAAGTCTTACATAAACCTCACAGGACAAAGGCGACAAGGCAAGACTGGGGGCAAAGTGGGGCACAGGAGGGGAGACCTGTCTGCGAGGCCACTGTGTGTTTACTGACCAGGTGAAATCAGTAACCCTCGATCCTCCGTCTCCAGGGTCTCAGCTGTCTGGAAGCAGGGCCCCTGCTACCAAGGTGCTGACACCCAGAACCTTAGCAGCGGCTCCTGTTTGGGGCAGGCACAGGCAGAGCCTAAGCGAAAAGTCCCCACCAGTGTACCTCTCAGAGTGGGGGGTGATGGGCCCCAGAAGCCCCCTTGGACCTGACCACTGCAGTGGTGTTTCCTCCCTCCCCCTTCTCTCTGCACACCACTGAATGCTGTCTGTCTCCACTCACAAAAGTCAGATTAAGATTGGCCAGCCTTTGGGAAGGGGCCGTCAACTCTTCCAGGAACAAATTTCTCAAATTTTGTATCTCATTACAAAACACCAATACTTCCGGCCAACATTTGATCTGATGTGCTGCCAGGCAGGCCTTTGACCAAGGCATCAGGGACCTGACGGGGAGCAAAACTCTGGGTTTAATTCTCACAACCCCACGAGGCCCAGAGACATGGGGCAGTTAAGAAATCTGCCCAAGGATACAACTAGTAAGTGGCAGAATGCGAACCCAAGTCGGATTGGACCATTACACTGCATCCCTTAACAGAAAAAAAGCACCCTTCAAATTTCAGTGGTGGTAAGCAGGTGCTTCACTAAGCCGTCTTTCTGACCAGAGCAATGGTGGAGGGAAGGTCAGGAGGCATGAAAAGAGCTGTGGTGCGAGTCCACAGCGGCTGAAAGCACCGAACTCCAGCGGCGCCCAGGATGAGGCACCAGACACCTGCTGCCATGGACCTAACCACGTCTCAAATCCTGTAAGCCCAGAGTGGAGTTCAAGACACCTGGTCAAGGACCTCAGGCTGGTCAGTCTTGATGATAAAACACAAGGGTGGGCAAAAGAAGGTTTACAGTTGTTCATATGGAAAAAAGACACGCAGGTTATGACCGTTACAATAGCTTTATTAACTCAAAAGAATGTCCCAGTGCAACTGTAAATCTACTTTTGCCCAGCCCTATATGTTGGAGCTTTTGTTTATGAGGCTGGAAATGTATGCAGAAGTGAGTCAAACTCATCACGTACGCTCGGAAAGGCCCGGAGACGCAGGGTGAGAGCCCAAGTTGCAGCGTCTGCGCGCTGCTGTGGGCTCCCGGGCCTCTAACACTCCTTGCTCCTGAGAGAGCACCAGAGCAGGATGGAGGCTGCTGAGCCTGCGGCTGGCTCTTCCGGGAAGATTTTCTGCTCACCAGGTGGATGGGACCGCCTGTCTGGGGCATCCACTGCAGCCCTTGGCACACTGGTCAGTCTCTTTCCACAGCTGTAGCTGCCTCCACCAGGGGCTACGGGCTGCCCAAGGGCAGGACAGGCCTCTCCCCAGTGCCTGGCACTAAGCCAGACCCCTAAGGGCAGCTCCACACTGTGAGTTGGGGCCTGAGCCCAGACTGCAGAAGGATAAGACAAAGGCAGGCCCAGCAGGCAGCCTGGCATCCATGGGAGAGCCCCAGATACCCTCCAGGCCTGGCAGGGCAGCTGTTAAGGTCTGGCTCCGAGGGCAGATATCAGAGCCAATCCCAGCAGCCCCCTCCTCTGGGCCCAGCATTCCGACCTGGTCAAATCCACAGCCTGAGAGAGCTGGGCACAGCTTCTTGCCAACGAGGGCTGCTGCCATTTCTAAGCAGGTGCTCTGGCTCTGTAGGAAACACGGAAACTTCACAGAAGATCGGAAAGTGGGGCTGTGGGGGTGAGGTGGAGGGGGGTCTAATGACAGCAGGGCCTTTTGAATAGCTCCAGAACCAGCCTGGGGATTTGGGTGGGAAACGGACTGGGCACCAGGGTGGTCCAGTTGTTGCCAGGTAAGTTTGGTGCAGGATAAAACAGTGATTCTATGTTAGAAGAACCACAATAAAGAGCCCTTGGTACCAGTGTCTATAGGAACTAAGAAAAGGAGCCAAAGTAAGCACAAAGGTGTCAGGGGATGCTTCCCAGGGCAGCCACCTCTAATATTTTTTAAGGCAGCCAGGGGACTCATGGGTGGGCAAGGGGAAGGTGTTCCAGCAAAGGCACCAAATTAGCTAAGCAGATGGATAGGTAATGCCTGGATCAGGGAACCAACAACCCAAGCTCTGGACAATAAATAAATGAATACCCACGTGGGACTGCTGTGGCCTGGAGGCCAGTTTGGAGAACCAGGAAGTCCAGTCACACTGCACTCCACCCTGGCACAGGGGCTTCCCCTTGCTGACCGAGTTGTCAGGTCAAGGATGCCTCTTTCCCAGGGCCCAGGCACAGTGACCAGCCACCAGGCCTGGGAAGGTTTGGGTAGTCACCAGCAGGCAGCTCACAACCCACCACAGGGATGGAGGGACCAGGCTCCCCCATGCCCCCCTTCCCACTCCACCCTCTTAGCACCCAGGGTGAGTGGTTTACTGCCCTCCAGCACAGGGCCGTTAATGACACTAAATCACAACTCGGGACACACACAGCTGAAAGAAGCGTTTCCCAACAAAACCTGCTCTTTACCTGTGGGAGGCACTAATTTTTTTTTTTTTAAATGCTGGTCTCAACCCACAAAAGATAGCTCTTGTGACCTACAAGTGGGTTAAGCCTACAGTTTAGAAACACTCTGGAAAGTGACCAGCTCGTGCTTCTTCCTCCCCTGCCCCTCCCTTCCTGGCCAGCAGGAGGGAACACCAACCCCATTTCCCTGCTGGAAAACCGAAGCAAAGCCCCTACGCTGGCTTGTGAAGGTCAGCAGGGGGGCCACCAGAGCAGGCCGCGGGCCATAGTGCTCTGCCCACAGCCTATGTGGTCACCAGAAGGGGTGCCCAATGGCCTTCAAGTGAAGCAAATCCCACAGGGTCCCCAAAGGGCGGATGGACGCAGGTGGGGAGTTGGGCGGGTTCAAGTCCTGCCTCCACTAATTTGCTGTGTAACCTTGGATAAGCAACTCAGCCTTTGAGTCTCTGGCTCCTAGTTTTTAACCCAGAGAAAAGTGGTCCCTCCCTCACAAAATTGCCCCAAAGAATCAGATTTGTGTCCTTAAAGTCCCCAACAGAGCTCTGGAGTGTTTGCGGAGCGAATGTTTGCGGAGACTGCCCAGCGACTGCACGTGCCCGAATTCCCAGGTTAACCTTGATATCCCAAATTCGAGCCCCGCCTGAGGTTCCTCCTTCACGCGGGAAACTTCGGGATGCCGCTTGCATCGGGTCCCCACCCCTGCTCCCCCTCCCACACCTCTGCCCAGCTACAACTCCTCCGCCCCCCCCCGCCCCCCGCTGCTGCCTTCACCACCACATTTTAGCGAGAGTCTCTGTCACCGTTAAGTTCCCAGAGTTTGTCCCTCTGCGCCCCCTGGCCGCCCCGTGAGGATCCTCGAGGGCAAAGTCGGGATGTCTTTATCCCAGCCTCTGGGGCCATCCCAGCCGATGTACGGGGTGGGGTGGGGGTGTCTACCTAACCCCCACGCCCCAAGAACCCAGGCGAAGAGCGCACGCCCCTCTGCACCGCCGCCCTGGCGGACAGAGCTCCCGGAGAGGCGAGGGAAGGTGCGACCAAGGCTAGAAGGCCGGTGAGGCCGGCGCCTCCCAGTGGCCATGTGGCTGAGACGGTGTGGCGGGCACAAAGTCCCACCCGCATCGGAGCCTAGTCTCCCCTCGTGAAGCGCAGGGGCGACTGGAGCCTGCAGGTGGGCGCGGGGCCGGAGCCAGCGCGCAGTAACGGGCCGCGACTTTCCTTGTCTCCCCACCCCCGCCCGGCACCTGGAGCCGGACGCGCCTGCCTGCGGAGGAGAGAAGCCCCTGAAAACAAGTCAAAACAGATGTCGGCGGGGGCCCGGCCTGCCCAGGACCGCCCGGCTTCTGAACTTGGCGTCACCCTAAGGATACTGATTTGTATGAGGCCCAAGTTGGTGCCACTTTCTGGGCCTCCTGTGAGTCGAGGTCTGGACACATTGAACTGATGGGGGTGGGGGCACA